TATTGCCAAGGGCAGAGCAAATGGCATGTGACCTTTCATAATCAAAGGCTTCCAATTGATCAAGGGTTTCTTGCATCTGTTTCACTTGTTCCTTTGTTTCATGCAGCTCATGTTTAAGTACAGTATTTTCAGAAGAAATGTGTCTTATTGCATTATCAATGCACCTCTGGAGATCATTACGCAATGCACTGTCAGTTACAGCATGTAAATTAAGAACATCTTCTATGTTTGTAAAACTTTCCTGTTCTTGTTGCTGCTGTTGCATTAATTCAGATTCTTGGATATTCCTTATATTTGAATAAGTAAGGCTGATTATGGCTGTTAAGAAAATATGACTATTATAAAATAATATACTTTAAAGTATAGTAGTGGATTATTCAATTAAACTGCAATGAGCCCAAGGTAACACTTATGATTCTTACTCTGTATAATAATATAGTAAATATACATTTTGTCAGTGGGAAATTAAGCTTAATGACATTAAATGACATTTGGGAATTATAGGAAAGGATACATTTTCTTCCTATTATCTTTGCCATCACATTGACTGCCAGCTGTTTTTCTATATTTCTTTTCAGTTTTCTCTCCAAACAGTGCACTGATTGCTTTATACAGGTCTACACGACGTATTGGCCTTCCAAGGTCACTTTGTACAATATCTAGGATATCATCAACTCCAGTGACACAGCCTTCTTCATATGCAAAATTTGATGCTAAAGATTGACGTATATCTATATAATATAATTTATATAATAATTATGTATGTTGTTATATAACTGTTTTATTATCCAACCTAGAAATAATAGTAATTGGTCAAAAACAATTATCAATATATACCTTCATTATAGTTTAAGTTCTTTGCTCTCTTATCAGGTGGCCTTTTTGAATTTGGGCTAGGAGTAAAACATAGACTTCTTTTTCCATCTCCTTTGTTTGCCCTAATTTCTAAAACGGGAATTAATTCATTTAATAAAGTGTCCCATGTACACAGACATTCTTTTCCACTTGTCAATTGTAACCCCCACCCACAAACCTTGGGAAAAGGTGGGGACATGAGGCAATGTGGCATTTTTTCTATTTTGACACTTACACAGTTACACCTTACCTAATGGCTAATGGGGGGATTTTCCTGTTATGGACCCCCAACCCTGGTATGCAAGGCATAATATGGCCCACATTATGCCCCACAAATCCCCCATTAGGTCAGGCGTAACTAACTGTTTATGTGGGGCCATTGTATACAGCCTGCTCACAGGATTGTCCTGTTGAGCCTGACCTAAATGTTACAAGCCAGGTTAGTGCCATTTTTATATAAAGTTATAGATTTTGTTCAATAAAATTTTTGGATTTTTTTAAAAATTTTGTCCCCATGGGTTGGGCTGCCTCAGGGGGTCAGGTAACAGTTAAATATGGATATATTAAAATATATGACCCCACCTTTCCTCAAGGTTGGGAGGGGGTTACAATTGACAAGTAAAGGATGAAATACATCAATGTTCGTTGATCATATTCGATGTATACATATAAACCAAATTTAAACTGTATTTAAAAATGTGCTCAATTAAAAAATTGTATACAAATGCGTGACACTGAACATTGGTAAAATGTTCAAAACATGTTTTGTTGTATAATCCTTGATGTTTAAGATTTATATACTCAAAAGTTGTGATCTACTCATCTACACTATACCAATATACTGTAGTATGTACCCAAATGCGCATTCTACTTGACAGATTGGAAATATTTGGATAACATGTGTTGTCAAAGCGTTTTTAGTCGGCATTCAATGGCTTTATATTCTAGTAATACGAGTCGTATGTAGCTTGACCGTATGGTAGCGAGACGTAGCCCATTTCTTTGTTCCGGGAGCATTAGAGCAAAACTAATGACTTAATATAAACACACAAAGGAAGTCAACACAGAGGAAAATGTAAAAAAGGTCAAGTATAGGTCAAGTGCATCCGTGTTGAAAACTTATATAAAGCTTTATTAAGTCGGCACAGCGGGTGAACAAGCAGTTTATTAAAAATTATATTGACTCACCTTCGTTTGAGCCGAGGTTAGAGCCTTCGTTTTGAGCCATTTTCTTAAAAAAATCTTTCAATTTTCTATTTACAAATTGGGTACGCTTCGTAACCAGGCCAGGGAGCACTTTTTTGAAATCAGGGACCATATTACTGAAATCTGCTAGGCTCTCGCGCTGAAGCGCTCGGCACAGCACACCCAGGCATAAAACTTATAAAACATTTAGAGCAGCGTTCAGCGCGAGAGCCTGGGACTAGGCTGTGTTGCTCACACTGAGAACAAGGTTCCTCACTCTGAGGAAAAGGTTCTTCACACTGAGGACAAGGTCCCTCACACTGGGGACAAAGTTCCTCACTCTGAGTACAAGGTTTCTCACACTAAGGACAAGGTTCCTCACTCTCAAAACTAGGCTCCTCACTCTGAGAACAAGGATCCTCACTCTGCGAACAAGGGTTCCTCAATCTGACGACAAGGTTCTTCACACTGAGAACAAGGTTCCTCAATCTGAGAACAAGGTTCGTCACTCTGAGAACAAGGTTCCTCACTCTGAGGACAAGGTTTCTCACACTGAGAACAAGGTTCCTCACTCTGAAGTCAGGTTCCTCACTCTGAGGACAAGGTTCCTCACTCTGAGGACAAGGTTATTCACACTGAGGGCAAGGTTCCTCACACTGAGGACAAGTTTCCTCACTCTGAGGACAAGTATCTTCACTCTGAGGACAAGGTGCTCACTCTGAGGACAAGGTTCAGCCCTCTGAAGACAGGTTCCTCACACTAAGGAAAAGGTTCCTCACTCTGAGAACAAGGTTCCTCACTCTGAGGACAAGGTTTCTCACACTGAGGACAAGGTTCCTCACTCTGAAGTCAGGTTCCTCACTCTGAGGACAAGGTTCCTCACTCTGAGGACAAGTTTCTTCACACTGAGGACAAAGATCCGTACTCTGAGAAGAAGGTTCCTGACACTGAGGACAACGTTCCTCACTCTGAGGACAAGGTTCCTCACTCTGAGGAAAAGGTTCCTCACACTGAGGACAAGGCTCCTCACTCTGAGGACAAGGCTCCTCACCCTAAGGACCAGGTTCCTCACTCTGAGGATAAGGTTCTTGACTCTGAGGACAAGGTTCCTCACTCTGAGGACAAGGTTCCTCATTCTGAGGACAATGTTCCTCACTCTGAAGTCAGGTTCCTCACTCTGAAGACAAGGTTCCTCACTCTGAGGACAAGGTTCTTCACTCTGAGGACAAGGGTCCGCACTCTGACAACAAGGTTCTTCACTCTAAGGACAACGTTCCGCACTCTGAAGGCAGGTTCCTCAAACTGAGGACAAGTTTCCTCGTTCTGAGGACAAGGTTCCTCACTCTGAGGACAAGGTTCCTCACTCTGAAGTCAGGTTCGTCACTGTGAAGACAAGGTTCCTCACTCTGAGGACAAGGTTCTTCACTCTGAGGACAAGGATCCGCACTCTGACAAGAACGTTCCTCACTCTGAGGACAACGTTCCGCACTCTGAAGGCAGGCTTTCACACTGAGGACAAGTTTCCTCGTTCTGAGGACAAGGTTCCTCACTTTGAGAACAATGTTCCTCACTCTAAAGTCAGGTTCCTCACTCTGAAGACAAGGTTCCTCACTCTGAGGACAAGGTTCTTCACACTGAGGACAAGCGTCCGCACTCTGGCAAGAACGTTCCTCACTCTGAGGACAACGTTCCGCACTCTGAAGGCAGGCTCTCACACTGAGGACAAGTTTCCTCGTTCTGAGGACAAGGTTCCTCACTTTGAGAACAATGTTCCTCACTCTAAAGTCAGGTTCCTCACTCTGAAGACAAGGTTCCTCACTCTGAGGACAAGGTTCTTCACACTGAGGACAAGCGTCCGCACTCTGGCAAGAACGTTCCTCACTCTGAGGACAACGTTCCGCACTCTGAAGGCAGGCTCTCACACTGAGGACAAGTTTCCTCGTTCTGAGGACAAGGTTCCTCACTTTGAGAACAATGTTCCTCACTCTAAAGTCAGGTTCCTCACTCTGAAGACAAGGTTCCTCACTCTGAGGACAAGGTTCTTCACACTGAGGACAAGCGTCCGCACTCTGGCAAGAACGTTCCTCACTCTGAGGACAACGTTCCGCACTCTGAAGGCAGGCTCTCACACTGAGGACAAGTTTCCTCGTTCTGAGGACAAGGTTCCTCACTTTGAGAACAATGTTCCTCACTCTAAAGTCAGGTTCCTCACTCTGAAGACAAGGTTCCTCACTCTGAGGACAAGGTTCTTCACACTGAGGACAAGCGTCCGCACTCTGGCAACAAGGTTCCTCACTCTGAGGACAAGGTTTTTCACACTGAGGACAAGGTTCCTCACTCTCAAGTCAGATTCCTCACTCTGAGCACAAGGTTCCTCACTCTGAGGACAAGTTTCTTCACACTGAGGACAAAGTTCCGCACTCTGAGAAGAAAGTTCCTGACTCTGAGGTCAAGGTTCCTCACTCTGAGGACAAGGTTTCTCACTCTGAGGAAAAGGTATCTCACACTAAGGGCAAAGCTCCTCACTCTGAGGACAAGGCTCCTCACTCTGAGAACAAGGTTCCTCACTCTGAGGACAAGGTTCTTCACTCAGAGCAAAAGGTTCCTCACACTGAGGACAAGGCACCTCACTCTGAAGACAACGCTCCTCACTCTGTGGACCAAGTTCCTGACTCTGAGGACAAGGTTACTCACTCTGAGGACAAGGTACCTTTCTCTGAGGACGAGGTTCCTCACACTGAGGACAAGGCTCCTCACTCTGAGGACAAGGCTGTTCACACTGAGGACAAGGTTCCGCACTCTGAGAAGAATGTCCTCACTCTGAGGACAAGGTTCCTCACTCTGAGGAAAAGGTTCCTCACTCTGAGGACAAGGTTCCTCACCCTGAAGACAGATTCCTCAGTCCGAGGACAAGGCTCATCACTCTGAGAACAAGGTTCCTCAGTCTGAAAACAAGGTTCCTCACTTTGAGAACAAGGGTTCCTCAATCTGCGGACAAGGTTCGTGTCACTGAGGACATGGTTCCTCACTCTGAGAACAAGTTTCCTCACTCTGAGAGCAAGGTTCCTCACCCTGAGGACAAGGTTTCTCACCCTGAGGGCAAGGTTCCTCACACTGAGGACACGTTTCCTCACCCTGAGGACAACGTTCCGCACTCTGATGGCAGGTTCCTCACACTGCGGACAAGGTTCCTCGCTCTGAGGACAAGGTTCCTCACTCTGAGGACAAGATTAATCACACTAAGGACGAGGTTCCTCACTCGGAGAACAAGGTTCTTCACTCTAAGGACAAGGTTCCTCACTCTGAAGAGAACGTTCCGCACTCTGCTGGCAGGTTCCTCACACTGCGGACAAGGTTCCTCGCTCTGAGGACAAGGTTCCTCACTCTGAGGACAAGGTTCCTCACACTAAGGACGAGGTTCCTCACTCGGAGAACAAGGTTCCTCACTCTGAGTACAAGGTTCCTCACTCTGAGGACAAGGTTCCTCACTCTGAAGTCAGGTATCTCACTCTGTAGACAAGGTTCCTCACTGTGAGAACAAGGATCCTTACTCTGAGGTAAAGGTTCCTCACACTGCGGACAAGGCTCCTCGCACTAAGGACAAGGTTCCTGACTCTAAAAACAAGGTTCCTCACTCTGAGGACAAGGTTCCACACACTGAGGAAAAGGTTCCTCACACGGAGGACAAGGTTTGTCAGCCTGAGGACAAGGTTCCTCACACTGAAGGCATCTTCCATCCGCTGAGGACAAAGTTTCTCACTCTGAGGACAAGGTACCTCACTCTGAGGACTATGTTCCTCACACTGAGGTCAAGGTTCTCACTCTAAGGACAAGGTTCCTCAATCAGAATGCAGGTTCCTCACACTGAGGACAAGGTTCTTTCCTCTGAGGACAAGGTTCCTAACTCTGAGGACAAGGTTCCTCACTCTGAGGACAATGTTCCTCACTCTGAAGTCAGGTTCCTCACTCTGAAGACAAGCTTCCTCACTCTGAGGACAAGGTTCTTCACTCTGAGGACAAGGGTCCGCACTCTGACAACAAGGTTCCTCACTCTGAGGAGAACGTTCCGCACTCTGAAGGCAGGTTCCTCACACTGAGGACAAGTCTCCTCGTTCTGAGGACAAGGTTCCTCACTCTGAGGACAAGGTTCCTCACTCTGAGGACAATGTTCCTCACTCTGAAGTCAGGTTCCTCACTCTGAAGATAAGGTTCCTCACTCTGAGGACAAGGTTCTTCATACTGAGGAGAAGCGTCCGCACTCTGGCAACAAGGTTCCTCACTCTGAGGACAAGGTTTCTCACACTGAGGACAAGGTTCCTCACTCTCAAGTCAGATTCCTCACTCTGAGGACAAGGTTCCTCACTCTGAGGACAAGTTTCTTCACACTGAGGACAAAGTTCCGCACTCTGAGAAGAAAGTTCCTGACTCTGAGGACAAGGTTCCTGACTCTGAGGACAAGGTTCCTCACTCTGAGGAAAAGGTTTCTCACACTAAGGACAAGGCTCCTCACTCTGAGGACAAGGTTCCTCACTCTGAGGAGAAGGTTCTTCACTCAGAGGAAAAGGTTCCTCACTCTGAGGACAAGGCTCCTCACTCTGAGGACAAGGCTCCTCACTCTGTGGACCAGGTTTCTGACTCTGAGGACAAGGTTCCTCACTCTGAGGACAAGGTACCTCACTCTGAGGACAAGGCTGTTCACACCGAGGACAAGGTTCCGCACTCTGAGAAGAATGTCCTCACTCTGAGGACAAGGTTCCTCACTCTGAGGAAAAGGTTCCTCACTCTGAAGACTAGGTTCCTCACTCTGAAGACAGATTCCTTAGTCCGAGGACAAGGTTCATCACTGTGAGAACAAGGTTCCTCACTCTTAAAACAAGGTTCCTCACTCTGAGAACAAGGGTTTCTCAATCTGCGGACAAGGTTAGTGTCACTGAGGACATGGTTCCTCACTCTGAGAACAAGTTTCCTCACTCTGAGAGCAAGGTTCCTCTCCCTGAGGACAAGATTCTTCACCCTGAGGGCAAGGTTCCTCACACTGAGGACAAGTTTCCTCACTCTGAGGACAACGTTCCGCACTCTGATGGCAGGTTCCTCACACTGCGGACAAGGTTCCTCGCTCTGAGGACTAGGGTCCTCACTCTGAGGACAAGGTTCCTCACACTAAGGACGAGGTTCCTCACTCTAAAAACAAGGTTCCTCACTCTGAGGACAAGGTTCCTCAATCTGAGGAGAAGGGTGGTCACTCTGAAGACAAGGTTTTCACTATAAGTCAAGGTTTCTCATTCTGAGGACAATGTTCCACACTCTGAGGACGAGGTTCCTCACTCTGAGGACAAGGTACCTCACACTGAGGACAAGTTTCTTCACTCCGCAGTCAGATTTCTCACTCTGGGGACAAGATTCCTCAATCTGACGACAAGGTTTCTCACTCTGAAGTCAGGTTCCTCACTCTGAGGACAAGGTTTATCAGTCTGAGGACAAGGATCGTCACTCTGAGGACAAGGTTTCACTATGAGGAAAAGGTTCCTCACTCTGGCAACAAGGCTCCTCACTCTGAGGACAAGGTTTCTCACACTAAGGACAACGTTCCTCACTCTAAAAACAAAGTTTATTACTCTGAGGACAAGGTTCGTAACTCTGAGGACAAGGGTCTTCACTATGAGGACAAGGTTCCTCACTCTGAGGACTAGGTTCCTCACTCTGAGGACAAGGTTTTCCATTCTGAGTACAAGGTTGCTCACTGTGAGGACAAGGTTCCTCACTCTGAAAACAAGGTTCCTCACTCTGAGGACAAGGTTCCTCACTCTAAGTACAAGGTTCCTCACCCTGAGGAGAAGGTACCTCACTCTGAGGACGAGGTTCCTCACACTGAGGACAAGGTTCCTCACCCTGGGGACAAGGGTTCTCACACTGAGGACAAGGTTCCTCACTCTGAAGTCAGGTTCCTCACTCTGAGCACAAGGTTTATCACTCCGAGAACAAGGTTGCTCACTCTGAAAACAAGGTTCCTCACTCTGAGAACAAAGGTTCCTCAAACTGAGGACAAGGTTCCACACACAAAGGACATGGCTCCTCACTCTGAGAACAAGTTTCCTCACTCTGAGAGCAAAGTTCCTCACCCTGGGGACAAAGTTCCTCACCCTGAGGACAAGTTTCCTCACCCTGAGGACGAGGTTCTTCAAACTAAGGACAAGGTTCCTTACTGTAAAGACAACGTTCCGCACTCTGATGGCAGTTTCCTCAGACTGCCGACAAGGTTCCTCGCTCTGAAGACAAGGTTCCTCACTCTGAAGACAAGGTTCCTCACTCTGAAGTCAGGTTCCTCACTCTGAGGACAAGGTTCCTCACACTGAGGACAAGGTTCCTCACTCTGAGAACAAGCGACCCTCACTCTGAGGACAAAGTTCCTCACACTGAGGAGAAGGTTCCTCACACTGAGGACAAGGTTCCTCTCTCTGAGAACAATGTTCGTCACTCTGACGACAAGGTTCCTCACTCTGAGGAAAAGGTTCGTCACACTGAGGATAATTTTGCTCACTCTGAGACCAAGGTTCCTCACTCTGACGACAAGGTTCCTCACTCAGAGGAAAAGATTCCTCACTCTGAGGACAAGGTACCTCTCTCTGAGGACAAGTTTCCTCACTCTGAGGACAAGTTTCCTCACTCTCAGGACAAGGCACCTCACTCTGAGGACGAGGTTCGTCACACTGAGGACAAGGTTCCTCACTCTGAGGACAAGGTTCCTCACTCTGAGGACAAGGTTCCTCACTCTGACGACAAGGTTCCTCACTCTGAGGACAAGGTTCCTCACTCTGAGGACAAGGTTCCTCACTCTGAGGACAAGGTTCCTTACTCTGAGGACAAGGTTCCTATCTCTGAAGGCAGATTTCTCACTCTGAAGACAAGGTTCCTCATTCTGAGGACAAGGTTCCTCTCTCTCAGAACAAGGTTCCTCACTCAAAGGACAAGGTTCTTCACTCTGAGGACAATGTTCGTCACTCTGAGGACAAGGTTCTTCACTATGAGAACAAGGTTCCTCACTCTGAGGAGAAGGTTATTCAAACTGAGGAAAAGGTTCCTCAATCGGACGACAAGGTTCCTCACCCTGAGGACAATGTTCCTCACACTGAGGACAAGGGTCCTCACTCTGAGGACAAGGTTCCTCACACTAAGGACAAGGTACCTCATTCTGAAGAAAAGGTTCCTCGTTCTGATGACAAGGTTCCTCTCTCTCAGAACAAGGTTCCTCACTCAAAGGACAAGGTTCTTCACTCTGAGGACAATGTTCGTCACTCTGAGGACAAGGTTCTTCACTATGAGAACAAGGTTCCTCACTCTGAGGAGAAGGTTATTCAAACTGAGGAAAAGGTTCCTCAATCGGACGACAAGGTTCCTCACCCTGAGGACAATGTTCCTCACACTGAGGACAAGGGTCCTCACTCTGAGGACAAGGTTCCTCACACTAAGGACAAGGTACCTCATTCTGAAGAAAAGGTTCCTCGTTCTGATGACAAGGTTCCTCTCTCTCAGAACAAGGTTCCTCACTCAAAGGACAAGGTTCTTCACTCTGAGGACAATGTTCGTCACTCTGAGGACAAGGTTCTTCACTATGAGAACAAGGTTCCTCACTCTGAGGAGAAGGTTATTCAAACTGAGGAAAAGGTTCCTCAATCGGACGACAAGGTTCCTCACCCTGAGGACAATGTTCCTCACACTGAGGACAAGGGTCCTCACTCTGAGGACAAGGTTCCTCACACTAAGGACAAGGTACCTCATTCTGAAGAAAAGGTTCCTCGTTCTGATGACAAGGTTCCTCTCTCTCAGAACAAGGTTCCTCACTCAAAGGACAAGGTTCTTCACTCTGAGGACAATGTTCGTCACTCTGAGGACAAGGTTCTTCACTATGAGAACAAGGTTCCTCACTCTGAGGAGAAGGTTCCTCACACTGAGGAAAAGGTTCCTCACTCGGACGACAAGGTTCCTCACCCTGAGGACAATGTTCCTCACACTGAGGAACAAGGTTCCTCACTTTGACGACAAGGTCCCTCACACTAAGGACAAGGTACCTCACCCTGAGGAAAAGGTTCCTCACTCTGATGACAAGGTTCCTCACTCTCAGGACAAGGTACCTCACTCTGACAACAAGGTTCCTCTCTCTAAAAACAAGGTTCCTCACTCTGAGTACAAGGTACCTCACTCTGAGGACAAGGTTCCTCTCTCTGAGGTCAAGGTTCCTCATTCTGAGGACAAGGTTCCTCTCTCGGGGAACAAGGTTCCTCACTCTGAGGACAAAGTGCCTCAGTCTAAGGGCAAGGTTCGTCACACTGAGGATAAGGTTGCTCACTCTGAGAACAAGGTTCCTCACTCTGAGGACAAGGTTCCTCACACTGAGGAAAAGGTTCCTCACTCTGAGGACAAGGTTCCTCACTCTGAGGAAAAGGTTCCTCACTCTGAGGACAAGGTTCCTCACTCTTAGGACAAGGTACATCACTCTGACAACAAGGTTCCTCACTCTAAAAACAAGGTTAGTCACTCTGAGGAGAAGGTTCCTCTCTCTGAGGACAAGGTTCGTCACTCTGAAGACAAGGTTTTCACTATGAGGACAAGGTTTCTTACTCTGAGGACAAGGTTCCTCACTCTGAGGACAAAGTTCCTCGCTCTGAGAACAAGGTTCCTCACACTGAGGAAAAGGTTCCTCACTCTGAGGACAAGGTTCCTCACTCTGAGGAAAAGTTCCTCACTCTGAGGCCAAGGTTCCTCACTCTCAGGACAAGGTACATCACTCTGACAACAAGGTTCCTCACTCTAAAAACAGGTTCGTCACTCTTTGGAGAAGGTTCCGCACTTTGAGGACAAGGTTCCTCACTCTGAGGACAAGGTTCCTCACACTGAGGACAAGGTTCCTCAGTCTGAGGACAAGGTTCCTCACTCTGAGGACAAGGTTCTTCTCTATGAAGACAAGGTTCCTCACTCTTAGGACAAGGTTCCTCACTCTGAGGACAAGGTTCCTCACACTGAGTAAAAGGTTCCTCACACTGAGAAAAAGGTTCATCACTCTCACGAACAAGGTTCCTCACTCTGAGGACAAGATTCCTCACTCTGACGACAAGGTTCCTCACTCTGAGGACAATGTGCTTCATTCTGAGAACAAGGTTCCTCACTCTGAAGACAAGGTTCCTCAGTCTGAGAACAAGGTTACTCACTGTGAGAACAAGGTTCCACACACTGAGGAAAAGGTTCTTCATTCTGAGGACAAGGTTTCTCACTCTGAGGAGAAGGATCCTCACACTGAGGAAAAGGTTCCTCACTCGGACGACAAGGTTCCTCACCCTGAGGACAATGTTCCTCACACTGAGGACAAGGTTCCTCACTCTGACGACAAGGTTCCTCACACTAAGGACAAGGTACCTCACTCTGAGGAAAAGGTTAATCACTCTGATGACAAGGTTCCTCACTCTCAGGACAATGTACCTCACTCTGTCAACAAGTTTCCTCTCTCTAAAAACAAGGTTCCTCACTCTGAGTACAAGGTACCTCACTCTGAGGACAAGGCTCCTCGCTCTGAGGACAAGGTTCCTCTCTCTGAGGTCAAGGTTCCTCATTCTGAGGACAAGGTTCCTCTCTCGGGGAACAAGGTTCCTCACTCTGAGGACAAGGTGCCTCACTCTGAGGACAAGGTTCGTCACACTGAGGATAAGGTTGCTCACTCTGAGAACAAAGTTTCTCACTCTGAGGACAAGGTTCCTCAGACTGAGGAAAAGGTTCCTCCCTCTAAGGACAAGGTTCCTCACTCTGAGGAAAAGGTTCCTCACTCTGAGGACAAGGTTCCTCACTCTTAGGACAAGGTACATCACTCTGACAACAAGGTTCCTCACTCTAAAAACAAGGTTCCTCACTCTGAGGACAAGGTTCCTCTCTCTGAGGACAAGGTTCGTCACTCTGAAGACAAGGTTTTCAGTATGAGGACAAGGTTTCTCACTCTGAGGACAAGGTTCCTCACTCTGAGGACAAGTTTCCTCACTCTGAGGACAAGGTTCCTCACTCTGAGGACAAGGTTCCTCACTCTGAGGAAAAGGTTCCTCACTCTGAGGAAAAGGTTCCTCACTCTGAGGACAAGGTTCCTCACTCTCAGGACAAGGTACATCACTCTGACAACAAGGTTCCTCACTCTAAAATCCAGGTTCCTCACTCTGAGGACAAGGTTCCTCACTCTGAGGACAAGGTTCCTCACTCTGACGACAAGTTTCCTCACACTGAGGAAAAGGTTCCTCACACTGAGGAAAAGGTTCCTCACTCTCACGACAAGGTTCCTTACTTTGGGGACAAGATTCCTCACTCTGACGACAAGGTTCCTCACTCTGAGGACAATGTTCTTCATTCTGAGAACAAGGTTCCTCACTCTGAAGACAAGGTTCCTCAGTCTGAGAACAAGGTTACTCACTGTGAGAACAAGGTTCCACACACTGATGAAAAGGTTCCTCATTCTGAGGACATGGTTTCTGACTCTGAGGACAAGGTTCCTCACCCTGAGGAAAAGGTTCCTCGCATTGCGGACAAGGTTCCTCACTCTGAGGACAAGGTTCCTCAGTCTGAAGTCAGGTTCTTCACTCTGAAGTCAGGTTCCTCACTCTCAGGACAAATTTCATCACTCTGAGGACAAGGTTCGTCAATCTGAGGACAAGGTTCCTCATTATGAGGACAAGGTTCCTCACTCTGAGGACAAGGATCCTCACACTGTGGACAAGGTTGTTCACAATAAGGACACGGTTCCTCACACTGAGGACAATGTTCGTCACTCTGAGGACAAGGTTGCTCACTCTGAGGACAATGTTCCTCACTCTGACGACAAGGTTCCTCACTCTGAGGACGAGGTTCCTCACTCCGAGGCCAAGTTTCCTCACTCTTAGGAGAAGGTTCCTCACACTGAGGACATGGTTCCTCACTCTGAAATCAGGTTCCTCACTCTGAGGACAAGGTTCCTCACTCTGAGGACAAGGTTCCTCACTCTGAGGAGAACGTTCCTCACTCTGAGGACAAGGTTCCTCACTCTGAGGACAAGGTTCCTCACACTGAGGACAAGGTTCCTCACTCTGAGGACAAGGTTCCTCTCTCTGAGGAAAAGGTTCCTCACACTCAGGAAAAGGTTCCTCACTGTGAGGACAAGGTTCCTCACTCTGAGGACAAGGTTCCTCACTCTGAGGACAACGTTCCTCACACTGAGGACAAGGTTCCTCACTCTGAGGACAAGGTTCCTTGCTCTGAGGACAAGGTTCCTATCTCTGAAGACAGGTTTCTCACTCTGAAGACAAGGTTCCTCATTCTGAGGACAAGGTTCCTCACTCTGAGGAGAAGGTTCCTCACTCTGATGACAAGGTTCCTCTCTCTCAGGACAAGGTTCCTCACTCAAAGGACAAGGTTCCTCACTCTGAGGACAAGGTTCCTCACTCTAAGGACAAGGTTCCTCTCTCTGAGGACAAGGTTCCTCACACTCAGGAAAAGGTTCCTCACTCTGAGGACAAGGTTCCTCACTCTGAGGACAAGGTTCCTCACTCTGAGGACAAGGTTCCTCACACTGAGGAAAAGGTTCCTCACACTGAGAAAAAGCTTCCTCACTCTCACGACAAGGTTCCTCCCTCTGAGGACAAGATTTCTCACCCTGACGACAAGGTTCCTCACTGTGAGGACAATGTTTTTCATTCTGAGAACAAGGTTCCTCACTCTGAAGACAAGGTTCCTCAGTCTGAGAACAAGGTTACTCACTCTGTGAACAAGGTTCCACACACTGAGGAAAAGGTTCCTTATTCTGAGGACAAGGTTTCTCACTCTGAGGACAAGGTTCCTCACCCTGAAGGCATGTTCCTCACTCTGCGGACAAGGTTCCTCACTCTGTGGACAAGGTTCTTCACACTGAGGACAAGGTTCCTCACACTGAGGACAAGTTTCCTCACTCTGAGAACAAGGTTCCTCACACTGAGGACAAGTTTCCTCACACTAAGGACAAGGTTCCTCACTCTGAAAACAAGGTTCCTCACTCTGAGAACAAGGGTCTTCACTCTGTGAACAAGGGTTCCACAATCTGAGGACAAGGTTCCTCACACTGAGGACATGGTTCCTCACACTGAGAACAAGGTTCCTCACTTTGAGAACAAGGTTGCTAACTCTTAGGACAAAGTTCCTCACTCTGAGGACAATGTTCCTCACACTGAGGATAGTGTCCTCACTCTGAGGACAAGGTTGTTCACTCTGCGGACAAGGTTCCTTCCTCTTGATGAACCGATATACTTTATTATTATTATTTATATTAGGTTGAACAGTTTAAGTTAGGATTAATAAGGACACTTAGGATTAGTCACGGACAGTAGATACATTGAGGGATACTGTGGGATAAAGGAGGAGATGGGAGAAGACAAGATGGCGGCGTAAACAAAATGTAAGCTATTTCGAAAAGACAAAATTATAACGTTTAAAGACTAAAATATATTTGGCGACGAGGATTAAAAAGCTAAAACAAAAGAAAACCAGTCACTACGCACTAATACACCCATTCTAATACAATTCCGGCCTCTACACACCTCGTAAGAAGACAAATTCATCGGCTACGTAAGTGAATATATCGTGTTAATATATCATATAAACATCAACATCAAAACTACAATGGCTAGTGGCAATACACTTCACTTCGACCCAGATCTTCACCGAGACGATACTCTAAAAGCGTTTAATGACTTTATACAATCATTCTACCTACGCTACGAAGCACAATACCCTGATCCACCAAAAGTGTCTATTGACGCTGCAATTGAACGATGGAAACTAGCCAACGAAGAAGCCAAACCAACTCTGGAACAATACGATACGCTCAGGAATGAGTGGAGATCAAAAGATCGAGTTGCAAAATTTCTTGGAATGTTCTCTTCGAGACGAATGTACGCGGATTGGCAAGTTGCCGAACCCGATGTAACAAAAAGAGCACAGGCGACATGGGAGTATTTCGTTGCCCAAATCCAAGCATATTATAAGCCAACAGAAAACCTTACACTTAAGAATCACAAGTTTCGCACACTTACTCAAGCTACACAAGAGGCATTCCCTGCTTTCTGTAATCGTGTGTACAAAGAAGCCCAACACTGCAACTTCAAATGCCAAAATGATGACTGCACGGCAGAAGATACAGCAATACGAGATCAGATAATTATCGGGACAATCCATGACAAGATCAGAGAAGAAGCCCTCAAGAACTCTTGGGACTTACCAAAACTACGCAAAGAAGGAATGCAAATCGAAAGTGCAACTAAAGGGGTTAATGAGTTAAATAATGAGAACCCAATTAACAAAATGGGGAAATATTCTTATAAAAACTTGAAAAAGAAACAGCAAACAGGAAAACCACGAGCATGCTACTACTGCGGACAAGACATCAAAGCATCTATAATAGAACATGTCAAAACCTGTAGAGCGAAAACCAGCAAATGCAATTTCTGCGATACAATTGGACATTACGAGTCTGTTTGCAGAAAAAAGAAAGCTGTCAGAGAACTGACAACCATCCACCCAGAATCACAACCTCGACATGAGGAAGATGCCGAAGACTCTGGTATCTACAACATCAACATCTTTAGAGTCACCGATAATAACCCATACCAACAACACCATACCAGTCTAAGAATGAAGGAAGATTTCAAAGTGCAAGTCATTGTCAACAATAGCCTTGCTACTGTCTTAGCAGACACTGGGGCAAGTATTAGTGTTTGCGGAAAGGCAGAAGCCAAACGATGGAATCTTCTTTCGAGAATGGTCAAAACCCAAGCTAAAATCAAACCATACAACAGCCCACCCATACCAATATCTGGCACCACCAAATGCGCCGTAACGTTCGGAAATTCATCCATCCCAGTAGAATGGCACATTATCGACAACCCCTGCGAACCGGTACTTGCAGGACGAATCGCAGAAGAGCTCGGTATCATAAAGTTTGACGCCAAACCAACAGTTTTTCAACCTGTACAAATGATACACTCGACTGACAATAAAGAAACACTGCAAAACATTTTGCAACAGTTCCCACAAAATTTCGAAGGCTTGGGGAAGTTGAAGAACCACCAAGTCAAGCTACATGTAGACACCAGCATCAAGCCAGTCACCACACCTGCCAGACCAGTGCCATACCACCTGAAAGAACGGGTCACAAAAGAAATCGAAAAGATGATTAAACAAGACGTAATCGAGGAACACCCAGCCACCAAACCAGCTCCATGGATCTCCAATGCCGTGATAGCGCCGAAAGCTGACGGAGCAATACGTATGACACTTGACGCTCGTAACGTCAACAAAGCCATACAATCGTCCAACTTACCCATCCCCCGGCAAGAAGACATCAAAGCCAAGCTCAGTGGAGCAAGTGTGTTTTCAAAGATGGATTTCAAATCGGCTTTCTGGCAACTAGAACTGCACCCGGACTCGAGATATTTGACAGTCTTCCACGCAAATGACAAACTATACCGATATAAACGTCTCACCATGGGAGTAAAGCCTGCACAAGGAGAACTTAATATGGCTCTTCAACCTTTGTTTGCAAACATCCCCCAAGCACACCTTATCCATGATGACCTAATCGTGGCAACCACAACAAACGCAGAACACAACGAAGCAATCGAAGCCGTCATGAACGCCATATCAAACGCCGGTATTACACTAAACCCGGATAAGTGCACGTTCGGAGTACCAGAAATCGGATTCTGGGGCCTACGTATTGGATCAGACGGCGTACGACCCGATCCTGCCAAAGTTGAAGCTCTTGACCATATGACACCACCACAATCCAAGGAAGAGTTGACCAGTTTCCTGTGTATGATGCAGTCTAACTCAGATTTCATCCCCAACTTCGCTCAGTTAGCGGCTAAACTGAGAGAATTAACGAAGAAACACGCCAGATTCGTGTGGAACACAGAATACCAAACAGCCTACGAAGTCCTGATTGCGAGATTCAAGCAAAACACGCTGCTTCAATACTTCGAGATGAGTACACAAACGTTTCTATTTACGGATGCACACCAGACAGGGCTCGGGGCGATGTTAGCACAAGGAGACAGCATCGAGAACGCACGACCAGTGGCGATAGCATCGAGAACGACCAACGCAGCAAAGCAAAGATATCCGCAAATTGACTTGGAGGCACTCGCAATCGATTTTGCTTTGTGAAGATTTCGACAGTATATCGTGGGTTCCCCTACCAAGATCCAAGTGATAACGGATCACCAACCTCTCTGCTCGATTTTCAATGGAAAGCGCCAAGGGTCCATCCGAGCTGAAAGAATCAAGCTCCGCCACCAAGACATACGTTTTACCGTGACATATCAGCGTGGGAAAATCAACCAATCCGACTACCTCTCACGACATGCAAAACCCATCGAGAAGCTGACGCGCGAGGAACGGCAAGAAGCCGACGACCTCAACAACCTACTGTATATGCTTCACACCACCCCGATCATAGACTGCATGGGTATTGGAACTATCGCACAAGCTACCCAGAACGATCCAACCCTCAAAAAGATTGCAACACTTGTCAACCAGGGGTTAACCTGGATTGAAAAAACAGAGTCGAAAGAAATCCAACGTTTCCAGAAAGTACTTCCAGAGCTTACGATGACCGCAAATGGTATTATTCTGAAAGGCGAAAAGATCGTACTTCCAAGTAACCTCCAAGATACAGCCATCCGACTGGCACACAGAGGAGCTCACCCTGGCCAAAGTGGACTTGAACGACGACTCAGATATAATTTTTTCTTCCACAATATGAGTAAGAAAATAGAAGAATTCGTCAAATCATGCAACCACTGCAGTATGTTCATCGACAAAAAGACAAAAGAACCCATCAAACCACACCGGGTTCCTGAGATATGCTGGGATACTGTATCAGTCGACCTATTTGGCCCGATGCCAACATCCAAACACGTGGTCGTCGTACAAGACTTAGCATCACGATTTCCAGCAGCGAAACTGGTTACATCGACAAAGGCAGACAAAGTTTTACCAGCTCTCAGCGAAATTTATGCAACGTACGGAAACCCCGAGGTCCAACTTTCCGATAACGGGCCTCCCTTCAACAGTGTTCAAATGAAGGACTTCGCAACGAGCAAGTCCATCAAATTACAGAAGGCTCCACCACTTCACCCATCCTCCAATCCAGTCGAAACGTTTATGCGTCCTTTGGGAAAGGCCATGAAAATCGCATATCAAACCAGGGCTCCTGAAAAAGAAACATTGGAGAGAACACTAAACAACTATAGACATACACCTCACCCAGCAACGGGTATCCCTCCAGCAGCCATGATGTTCCAAGATGGACAGCGATACGACTTTCCGAGAACATACGCAACCGAAGAAGACGTAAGAAGAGCTAGGGAAGCAGACAAACAAAAGAAAATTGATAACGAAGAAAAAATAAACTCTTCTAAATACAGGAAGAAATCAAATTTCAACATTGGTGACAAGGTTCGTGTTAGAAATTACCAAAAATCGAGGAAGTTTGATCCCGTTTTCCTCGGTGAACCATTCAAAATCATCGACATCAATGACGAAGGAAACAAACTCATTGTCGAACATCAAGAAAACGGGTTTTTGTTGTGCCGTCACCCAGATGACGTCAAACCATTTATAGAACAAAACTATATCGAAGTCGAAGATGTTCAGTGGCCAGTAGGAGATGAAGGAGACGTGGCGGAAGATCTCGGGATTGAGAAAAGCGGAGAAACTGCACCAACACCGAGACGTAGCGAGCGGAAAAAGACCCCCAATCCAAGATACATTTAGATACGTATCATGAAACTATTCATGAAAACTGATATAAACATGGGGATGATGAACCGATATACTTTATTATTATTACTTATATTAGGTTGAACAGTATAAGTTAGGATTAATAAGGACACTTAGGATTAGTCACGGACAGTAGATACATTGAGGGATGCTGTGGGATAAAGGAGGAGATGGGAGAAGACAAGATGGAGGCGTAAACAAAATGTAAGCTTTTTCGAAAAGACAAAATTATAACGTTTAAAGACTAAAATATATTTCCTCTGAAGGCAGGTTCCTCAGACTGAGGACAAGGTTCCTCGCTCTGAGGAGAAGTTTCCTCACTCTGAGGAAAAGGTTCCTCACACTGAGAACAAGGCTCCTCACTCTGAGGACAATGTTCTTCACTCTGAGGACAAGGTTCCTCACTCTGGAGGCAGGTTCTCACACTGAGGACAAGGTTCCTCAAGCTCAGGATAGGAATCCTCACTCTGAGCTTCCACACACTGAGTACAAGGTTCCTCACTCTGAGGAAAACGTTCCTCACACTGAGGACAAGGCTCCTCACTATGAGGACAAGGCTCCTCACTCTGAGGACAAGGTTGCTCACTCTGAGGAGAAGGTTCATCACTCTGAGGACAAGGCTCCTCAACTGAGGACAAAGTTCCTCATTCTGACGACAAGGTTGCTCACTCTGAGGACAAGGTTCCTCACTCTGAGGCCAAAGTTTCTCAGTCTGAGGACAAGGTACCTCACTCTGGGGATGAGGTTCCTCACACAGAGGACAAGATTCCTCACTCTGAGAACAAGGTTCCTCAGACTGAGCACAAGGTTCCTCGCTCTGAGGACAAGGTTCCTCACTCTGAGGACAAGGTTCCTCACACTAAGGACAAGGTTCCTCACTCTGAGAACAAGGTCCCTCACCCTGAGGACAAGGTTTCTCACTCTGAGGACAAGGGGCCTGGCTCTGAAGTCAGCTTCCTCAATCTGAGGGCAAGGTTGCTCACTCTAAGGACAAGGTTCTTCACACTGAGGACAAGGTTCCGCACTCTGAGAAGAAGGTTCCTCTCTCTGAGGACTAGGTTCCTCACTCTGAAGACAAGGTTCTCCACTTTGAGGAAAAGATTCCTCACACTGAGAACAAGGTACCTCACTCTGGGAACGAGGTTCCTCACACTGAGGACAAAGTTACTCACCCTGAGTACCAGGTTCCTCACTCTGAGGACAAGGTTCCTCATTCTGAAAGCAGGTTCCTCACACTGTGGGCAAGGTTCCTCAATCTGAGGATAAGAGTCCTCACTCTGAGGATAAGAGTCCTCACTCTGAGGACAAGGTTCGTCTCTGAGGACAAGGTTCCTCACTCTGACGACAAGGTGCCTCACTCTGAGGACAAGGTTGGTCACACTGAGGATAAGGTTGCTCACTCTGACAACAAGGTTCCTCACTCTGAGGACAAGGCTCCTCACACTGAAGAAAAGGTTCCTCACTCTGAGGACAAGGTTCCTCTCTCTGAGGAAAAGGTTCCTCAGTCTGAGGACAAGGTTCCTCACTCTTAGGACAAGGTACATCACTCTGACAACAAGGTTCCTCACTCTAAAAACAAGGTTCCTCACTCTGAGGGCAAGGTTCCTCTCTCTGACGACAAGGTTCGTCACTCTGAAGACAAGGTTTTCACTATGAGGACAAGGTTTCTCACTCTGAGGACCAGGTTCCTGACACTGAGGACAAGGTTCCTCACTCTGAGGAAAAGGTTCCTCACTCCGAGGACAGGGTTCCTCACTCTCAGGACAAGGAACATCTCTCTGACAACAAGGTTCCTCACTGTAAAAACAAGGTTCCTCACTCTGAGGACAAGGTTCCTCTCTCTGAGGACAAGGTTCGTCACTCTGAAGACAAGGTTTTCACTATGAGGACAAGGTTTCTCACTCTGGGGAAAAGGTTCCTCACTCTGAGGACAAGGTTCCTCACTCTCAGGACAAGGTACATCACTGTGACAACAAGGTTCCTCACTCTAAAAACAAGGTTCCTCACTCTGAGGACAAGGTTCCTCTCTCTGAGGACAAGGTTCGTCACTCTGAAGACAAGGTTTTTACTATGAGGACAAGTTTTCTCACACTGAGGAGAAGGTTCCTCACTCTGAAGACAAGGTTCCTCACTCAGAGGACAAGTTCCTCACACTGAGGACAAAGTTACTCACTCTGAAGTCATGTTCCTCACTCTGAGAATAAGGTTCCTCACTCTGAGGAGAACGTTCCTCACTCTGAGGACTAGGTTCCTCACTCTGAGGACAAGGTTCCTCACACTGAGGACAAGGTTCCTCACTCTGAGAACAAGATTCCTCACTATGAGAACAAGGGTTCCACAATCTGCGGACAAGATTCCTCACACTGAGAACAAGGTTCCTCATTATGAGGACAAGGTTCCTCACTCGGAGGACAAGGTTCCTCACACTGAGGACAAGGTTCCTCACTCAGAGGACAAGGTTCTTCACACTGAAGACAAGGTTCGTCACACTGAGGACAAGGTTCCTCACTCTGAGAACAAGTTTCCTCGCGCTGAGGACAAGGTTCCTCACACTAAGGGCAAGGTTCCTCATTTGAAAAGAAGGTTCCTCACTCTGAGAGCAAGATTCCTCACTCTGAGAACAAGGGTTCCACAATCTGCGGACAAGATTCCTCACACTGAGAACATGGTTCTTCACACTGAGAACAAAGTTCCTCACTTTGAGAACAAGGTTTCTCACTCTGAGGACAAGGTTCCTCACTCTCAGGGCAAGGTTCCTCACACTGAGTACACGTTTCCTCACTCTGAGGACAAGGTTCTTGACTCTGAGGACAAGGTTCCTCACTCTGAAAACAAGGTTCCTCACTCTGAGGACAGGGTTGCTCACTCTGAGGACAAGGATCCACACTTTGAAATCAGGTTCCCCTATCTGAGGACAAGATTCCTCACCCTGAGAGAGACGTCCTCACACTGAGCACAAGACTCCTCGCTCTGAGGACAAGGTTCCTCACCGTGAGGACAAGGTTCCTCATTCTGAAAACAAGGTTCCTCACTCTGAGAACAAGTTTCCTCACTCTGAGAACAAGGTTCCTCACTCTGAGAACAAAGGTTCCACAATATGAGGACAAGGTTCCTCACACTGAGGACATGGTTCCTCTCCCTGAGAAAATGGTTCCTCACTTTGAGAACAAGGTTGCTAATTCTGAGGACAAGGTTCTTCACTCTGAGGGCAAGGTTTCTCACACTTAGCACAACTTTCCTCACTCTGAGGACAAGGTTCTTCACTCTGAGGACAAGGTTTCTCACTCTGCGGGCAAGGTTCCGTCCTCTGAAGGCAGGTTCCTCAGACTGAGGACAAGTTTCCTATCTCTGAAAGCAGGTTCCTCAATCTGAGGACAAAGTTCTTCACTGTGAGGACAAGGTTCCTCACTCAGAGGACAAGGTTCTTCACACTGAAGACAAGGTTTGTCACACTGAGGACAAGGTTTCTCACTCTAAGAACAAGGTTCCTCACACTGAGGACAAGGTTCCTCACACTAAGGGCAAGGTTCCTCATTTGAAAAGAAGGTTCCTCTCTCTGAGAACAAGGGTTCCACAATCTGCGGACAAGATTCCTCACACTGAGAACATGGTTCTTCACACTGAGAACAAGGTTCCTCACTTTGAGAACAAGGTTTCTCACTCTGAGGACAAGGTTCCTCACTCTGAGGACAAGGTTCCTCACTCTTAAAACAAGGTTCCTCACTCTGAGGACAGGGTTGCTCACTCTGAGGACAAGGTTCCTCACTCTGAAGTCAGGTTCCCCAATCTGAGGACAAGGTTCCTCACCCTGAGGAAAATGTCCTCACACTGAGCACAAGGCTCCTCGCTCTGAGGACAAAGTTCCTCACTCTGAGGTCAAGGTTCCTCATTCTGAGGACAAGGTTCAATACTCTGAGGACTAGGTTCCTCACACTGAGGACAAGGTTTCTCACTCTGAAGGCAAGGTTCCTTACTCTGAGGACAGGGTTGCTCACTCTGAGGACAAGGTTCCTCACTCTGAAGTCAGGTTCCCCACTCTGAGGACAAGCTTCCTCACCCGGAAGAAAACGTCCGAACACTGAGGACAAGGCTCCTCGCTCTGAGGACAAGGTTTCTCACCCTGAGGTCAAGGCTCCCCACACTAAGAAAAAGGTTCCTCACTCTAAAAACAAGGTTCCTCACCCTGAGAACAAGGTTCCTCAATCTGAGGACAATGTTCCTCACTCTGAGGACAAGGGTCCTCACTCTGAGGACAAGGTTCCTCACTCTGAAGACAGGTTCCTGACTCTGAGGACAAGGTTCATCACTCTGAGGACAAGGTTCCTCATTCTGAAAACAAGGTTCCTCACTCTGAGAACAAGTTTCTTCACTCTGAGAACAAGGTTCCTCACTCTGAGAACAAGGGTTCCACAATATGAGGACAAGGTTCCTCACACTGAGGACATGGCTCCTCTCCCTGAGAAAATGGTTCCTCACTTTGAGAACAAGGTTGCTAATTGTGAGGACAAGGTTCTTCACTCTGAGGGCAAGGTTTCTCACACTGAGCACAACTTTCCTCACTCTGAGGACAAGTTTCTTCACTCTGAGGACAAGGTTCCTCACTCTGCGGGCAAGGTCCCGTCCTCTGAAGACAGGTTCCTCAGACTGAGGACAAGCTTCCTCACTCTGCAATCAGGTTCCTCAATCTGAGGACAAAGTTCTTCACTGTGAGGACAAGGTTTCTCACTCTGAAGACAAGGTTCCTCATTCTGAGGACAGGTTTGCTCACTCTGAGGTCAAGGTTCCTCACTCTGAAGTCAGGTTCCCCACTCTGAGGACAAGGTTTCTCACCCTGAGGAAAACGTCCGAACACTGAGGAAAAGGTTCCTCGCTCTGAGGACAAGGTTCCTCACTCTGAGGTCAAGGCTCCTCACACCATGGACAAGGTTCCTCACTCTAAAAATAAAGGTTCCTCACCCTGAGAACAAGGTTCCTGAATCTGAGGACAATGTTCCTCACTCTGAGGACAAGGGTCCTCACTCTGAGGACAAGGTTTCTCGCTCTGAAGACAGGTTCCTGACTGTGAGGACAAGGTTCATCACTCTGAGGAAAAGGTTCCTCATTCTGAAAACAAGCTTCCTCACTCTGAGAACAAGTTTGCTCACTCTGAGAACAAGATTCCTCACTCTGAGAACAAGGGTTCCACAATATGAGGAGAAGTTTCCTCACACTGAGGACATGGTTCCTCACCCTGAGAAAAACGTTCCTCACTTTGAGAACAAGGTTGCTAATTCTGAGGACAAGGTTCTTCACTCTGAGGGCAAGGTTTCTCACACTGAGGACAAGTTTCTTCACTGTGAGGACAAGGTTCTTCACTCTGAGGACAATGTTCCTCACTCTGCGGGCAAGGTTCCGTCCTCTGAAGGCAGGTTCCTCAGACTGAGGACAAGTTTCCTCACTCTGAAAGCAGTTTCCTCAATCTGAGGACAAGGTTCTTAACTGTTAGGACAAGGTTCCTCACTCTGAGAGCGAGGCGCTTCACACTGGGGACAATGTTCCTCACACTGAGAACAAGGTTCCTCATTATGAGGACAATGTTCCTCACTCTGCGGACAAGGTTCCTCACTCTGTGGACAAGGTTCTTCACACTGAAGACAAGGTTCCTCACACGGAGGACAAGGTTCCTCACTCTGAGAACAAGGTTCCTCACACTGAGGACAAAGTTCCTCACACTAAGGACAAAGTTCGTCACTCTGAAAACAAGGTTCCTCACTCTGAGAACAAGGGTCTTCACTCTGAGAACAAAGGTTCCACAATCTCGGGACAAGGTTCCTCACACTGAGGACATGGTTCCTCACACTGAGAACAAGGTTCCTCGCTTTGAGAACAAGGTTGCTAACTCTTAGGACAAAGTTCCTCACTCTGAGGACAAGGTTCCTCACACTGAGGATAGTGTCCTCACTCTGCGGACAAGGTTCCTTCCTCTGAAGACAGGTTCCTCAGACTGAGGAGAAGGTTCCTTGCTCTGAGGAGAAGTTTCCTCACTCTGAGGAAAAGGTTCCTCACACTGAGGAGAAAGCTCCTCACTCTGAGGACAAGGTTCCTCACTGTGAGGACAAGGTTCCTCACTCTGGAGGCAGGTTCCTCACACTGAGGACAAGGTTCCTCATTCTAAGGATAAGAGTCCTCACTCTGAGCTTCCACACACTGAGAACAAGGTTCCTCACTCTGAGGAAAACGTTCCTCACACTGAAGACAAGGCTCCTCACTATGAGGATAAGGCTCCTCACTCAGGGGACAAGGTTGCTCACTCTGAGGAGAAGGTTCATCACTCTGAGGACAAGGCTCCTCAACTGAGGACAAAGTTCCTCATTCTGAAAAACAAGGTTGCTCACTCTGAGGGCAAGGTTCCTCACTCTGAGGGCAAAGTTCCTCAGTGTGAGGACAATGTACCTCACTCTGGGGACGAGGTTCCTCACACTGAGGACAAGATTCCTCACTCGGAGAACAAGGTTCCTCTGACTGAGGACAAGGTTCCTCGCTGTGAGGAAAAGGTTCCTCACTCAGAGGACAAGGTTCCTCACACTAAGGAGAAGGTTCCTCACTCTGAGAACAAGGTCCCTCACCCTGAGGACAAGGTTTCTCACTCTGAGGACAAGGGGCCTGACTCTGAAGTCAGGTTCCTCAATCTGAGGGCAAGGTTCCTCACTCTAAGGACAAGGTTCTTCACACTGAAGACAAGGTTCCGCACCCTGAGAAGAAGGTTCCTCACTCTGAGGAGTAGGTTCCTCACTCTGAGGACAAGGTTCTTCACTCTGAGGAAAAGGTTCTTCACACTGAGGACAAGGTACCTCACTCTGGGGACGATGTTTCTCACACTGAGGACAAAATTCCTCACCCTGAGGACAAGGTTCCTCACTCTGAGGACAAGGTTCCTCACTCTGAAAGCAGGTTCCTCACACTGTGCGCAAGGTTCCTCAATCTGAGGATAAGAGTCCTCACTCTGAGGATAAGAGTCCTCACTCTGAGGACAAGGTTCGTCTCTCTGAGGACAAGGTTCCTCACTCTGTCGACATGTTTCCCAATCTGAGGACAAGATTCCTCACTCTGAGAACAAGGTTCCTCACTCTGAGGACAATCTTCTTCACTCTGAGGACAAGGTTCCTCTCTCTGAGGACAAGGTTCCTCACTCTGGAGGCAGGTTCCTCACACTGAGGACAAGGTTCCTCAATCTGAGGGTAAGAGTCCTCAATCTGAGCTTCCTCACTCTGAAGACAATGTTCTTCACTCTGAGGACAAGGTTCCTCACTCTGAGGACAAGGTTCTTCACTCTGAAGGCAGGTTCCTCACACTGAGGACAAGGTTCCTCTATCTGAGGATAAGAGTCCTCACTCTGAGCTTCCTCACACTCAGGACAAGGTTCGTCTCTCTGAGGACAAGGTTCCTCACTCTGACGACAAGGTTCCTCACTCTGAGGACAAGATTCCTCACTCTGAGGACTAGGTTTCTCACTCTGAGGACAAGGTTCCTCACTCTGAGGACAAGGTTCCTCACCCTGAAGGCATATTCCTCCCACTGAGGACAAGAATCCTCACTCTGAGGACAAGGTTACTCACTCTGAGGACAAGGTTCTTCACTCTGAGGACAATGTTCCTCACTCTGCGGACAAGGTTGCGTCCTCTGAAGGCAAGTTCCTCAGACTGAGGACAAGTTTCCTCACTCTGAAAGCAGTTTCCTCAATCTGAGGACAAGGTTCTTCACTGTGAGGACAAGGTTCCTCACTCTGAGAGCGAGGTGCTTCACACTGAGGACAAGGTTCCTCACACTGAGAACAAGGTTCCTCATTATGAGGACAAGGTTCCTCACTCTGCGGACAAGGTTCCTCACTCTGTGGACAAGGTTCTTCACACTGAGGACAAGGTTCCTCACACTGAGGACAAGGTTCCTCACTCTGAGAACAAGGTTTATCACACTGAGGACAAGGTTCCTCACACTAAGGACAAGGTTCCTCACTCAGAAAACGAGGTTCCTCACTCTGAGAACAAGGGTCTTCACTCTGAGAACAAGGGTTCCACAATCTGAGGACAAGGTTCCTCACACTGAGGACATGGTTCCTCACACTGAGAACAAGGTTGCTAACTCTTAGGACAAAGTTCCTCACTCTGAGGACAAGGTTCCTCACACTGAGGATAGTGTCCTCACTCTGAGGACAAGGTTGCTCACTCTGCGGACAAGGTTCCTTCCTCCGAAGGCAGGTTCTTCAGACTGAGGACAAGGTTCCTTGCTCTGAGGAGAAGTTTGCTCACTCTGAGGAAAAGGTCCGCACACTGAGGAGAAGGCTCCTCACTCTGAGGACAAGGTTCCTCACTCTGAGGACAAGGTTCCTCACTCTGGAGGCAGGTTCCTCACACTCAGGAAAAGGTTCCTCAATCTGAGGATAAGAGTGCTCACTCTGAGCTTCCACACACTGAGGACAAGGTTCCTCACTCTGAGGAAAACGTTCCTCACACTGAGAACAAGGCTCCTCACTATGAGGATAAGGCTCCTCACTCTGAGGACATGGTTCCTCACACTGAGAACAAGGTTCCTCACTTTGAGAACAAGGTTGCTAACTCTTAGGACAAAGTTCCTCACTCTGAGGACAAGGTTCCTCACCCTGAGGATAGTGTCCTCACTCTGAGGACAAGGTTGCTCACTCTGCGGACAAGGTTCCTTCCTCCGAAGGCAGGTTCTTCAGACTGAGGACAAAGTTCCTTGCTCTGAGGAGAAGTTTGCTCACTCTGAGGAAAAGGTCCTCACACTGAGGAGAAGGCTTCTCACTCTGAGGACAAGGTTCCTCACTCTGAGGACAAGGTTCCTCACTCTGGAGGCAGGTTCCTCACACTCAGGAAAAGGTTCCTCAATCTGAGGATAAGAGTCGTCACTCTGAGCTTCCACACACTGAGGACAAGGTTCCTCACTCTGAGGAAAACGTTCCTCACACTGAGAACAAGGCTCCTCACTATGAGGATAAGGCTCCTCACTCTGAGGACATGGTTCCTCACACTGAGAACAAGGTTCCTCACTTTGAGAACAAGGTTGCTAACTCTTAGGACAAAGTTCCTCACTCTGAGGACAAGGTTCCTCACCCTGAGGATAGTGTCCTCACTCTGAGGACAAGGTTGCTCACTCTGCGGACAAGGTTCCTTCCTCCGAAGGCAGGTTCTTCAGACTGAGGACAAAGTTCCTTGCTCTGAGGAGAAGTTTGCTCACTCTGAGGAAAAGGTCCTCACACTGAGGAGAAGGCTTCTCACTCTGAGGACAAGGTTCCTCACTCTGAGGACAAGGTTCCTCACTCTGGAGGCAGGTTCCTCACACTCAGGAAAAGGTTCCTCAATCTGAGGATAAGAGTCGTCACTCTGAGCTTCCACACACTGAGGACAAGGTTCCTCACTCTGAGGAA